TTAGTATAGCTTTTGATATTGTATTTCTAAAGGCTTTTTGAATAGGGTTATGTCAACGTTAGTAAAATAAACTAAATATCCTTAGATGAATATAGAGATATTAATTAATAATAATAATATATCTCACACATCTCACACGCGGCCGTCTGATCCCAAACTAGGCAGAGCCTGTACTACGGAAACCATATTGCTGATAAACATACTTATAAATTTTTAAATAGATACATATCATAGATAAATTACACCCAGACACAGAACAAATGACCGTGTTCATCATACAATATTTGTCTTGGGGGGAACCCACGACCTCCGGTTTAGCAGTCAGGGTCACTAACCACTAGGCCAACAGACCCGTCAATTGATCACTACAACTGCCACGTAAATATTTGTGTACAGTGGTCTTTTAGATTCGATGTTTATGTATAGAAAAAACTAACTAACTAAAACTAACTAGTGGGTACTAGAGTAAGCTGTATTAAGCTGGGACATATGGTGTTTTGTTATCATGATTGCAGTGATGGTCTAGTAGTTTAAACGGTCACCTCGCCTCTTCCTACTGAGCTGTGTGTTGTGGGTTTGATCTCCATATGGAACAACGCTGTGTGTAATCCTCAAACCATAACTAATACTTTATCTAGTCTTCCTGTGTGTCTTCTTCATTTCTAGATCAGGGATGCCCAACGTGGTCGTCAAAATCTTTGCCGTCAAAATCGGTTTCCTATGAGTCTACAGAAACGAATACTGATTTTGGGGGTCAACAACCCCTATTAATCAACACAAGTTTTTATTTGAAACTTTCAAGATATTTTATTAATTGTACTACGTATACCAACGTGTTATACGGATGAGTAAGTATCATTGTTGTACTTCTAAAAACAACTAAACAAATCGATAAGCGTCTGAGGTTTCATTACACTTTAGAAGAGGGTCTCTTACCCAAAATAGTTTGAGAATCCCTGCTCTAGATCAAATTTAAAGGCTATGTTATAAGGTCCCAAATCACTAATTTATTGCACAGCTCTCACTTTGTACTTTATGTCTTGTACGGGGTTCATAGTTAAGAGATAATCAGTTATCATCATTATCATCAACAGCCTTTATTAGTCCACTGCTGGACCTAGGCCTCTCCTTAGAAAAGAGGGTTATGCCTACTACGCCACGCTCAACAGTTATCATCAGAAAGGTGTAACGATAGATGCATGTACTGGGTCTACCAATAGGGATGACCTGGTTTTGACAGCTCATAGCGGCCATGTTTGATGATGGATCTTTGACGTCTTTTGACAATTGTGTTCAGTAAGGTTTGACATTTTATCATGTCACGTTTCACTTTAAACCAACGCTTGGAAATTGTCCGAAATTATTACGCAAATTCGCGTTCTCCTACCGCTACAGTAAGAGCGTTTCGTTGCGAAAAAACGGTCGTCATAGTGCTCCTGTGCGCGCTATAAATCGCATAATAACAAAATTTGAAAGTGAATTCACTTTCTACGATACTGCTGTGCCTGTGAGACAAAGAAATGCCCGTAGTGAAGACAATATCGCAACCGTTCGTTCGTAAGCCAGTGTTGATGCGAATTCAAAACGATCAGTTCAACGCCGTTCACAAGACTTGGGGCTCTCTCCAATGACCACCTGGCGTATTTTGCGGTTGGATTTGGGCCTACACCCATACAAAATTGTTTTGGCACAAGAATTGAAGCCATCCGACCATTGTATCCGTCGTGAATTTGCCGATTATGCACTGGAAATAATGGAAGCCGATGACTATTTTCATCATAAAATCATCTTCTCAGATGAGGCCCATTTCTGGCTTAATGGATTTGTTAATAAACAAAATTGTCACTGTTGGAGTGAGTCAAATCCACGCGTGGTTCATGAATCACCATTGCATCCGCAAAAAAATAATAGTTTGGTGCGGTTTATGGTACGGTGGAATCATTGGTCCGTACTTCTTTGAAAGTGACGAAGGAAACCCTGTTACTGTGAATGGCGAGCGCTATAACTCAATGTTAACTCGAATTTAATGATATTGATGCAGACGACCTTTATTTTCAACAAGACGGTGCACCACCTCACATTACTCGAGTGAACATGGAATTATTGCGTGGAAAGTTTGATGAGTCGTTAAGTTCGAGAAATGGACCGATCAGTTGGCCACCAAGATCGTGTGATTTAACACCTTTAGACTATTTTATTTGGGGTTACGTTAAATCTTAAGTGTACAGCAATAATCCAGCTACAATTCGTGACCTAAAAACCAACATTCGTCGAGCCATAGCCGACATACCGGCCGTAATGGTGCACCGCGTCATCGAAAATTGGCGTGAGCAAATTTGGGTGACCGTCTGCAAAAAGAGCCGCGGCGGTCATTTGGCCGATATATTATTTAAAACATAAATTGCATAAAATTATCTACCAAATAAATCAATCGGATGCATTTTTCATAAAAAATTGTGTGTTTTATTGAATTTTTAAACCAGGCCGTTCTTATTGGTAGACCCCATATTTAGAAATATATAATTAACTTTATCAGGATTCTGGTCACCACAGTACAAGTTCTGCCTAGATTGGGATCAGACAGCCGTGTGTGAGGTTATTTTTATTTCTGGTGATAAACTTTTTGAGCCACACAAATTTTTGAAACGAAGTTCCTTATCGCGCGTTGTGAAAGGGGGCTAGACGGAAAAAATTCGTACGAAAATTTGGAACGACACTTTTTTATTAATATAAATTGACGTCTAACTGTGGATACCATACATTAAATTTGCTTTAACGTTCGCCAACGTCCATACCATGTTGAATACACCGGTTCTCGTCCGATCACCGAAGTTAAGCAACATCGGGCGTGGTTAGTACTTGGATGGGTGACCGCCTGGGAATACCACGTGATGTTGGCTTTTTGCTCTTTATTTCGTGTCATCTTGTCAGACATTCAGCGCCATCTATCGAATAGATAGGAAATCATTTCGCAAGGAGATTTTACCAATGTATAAATTGTTTTAATTGTTTTTAATATGTAGGTAATAGCCGCTTTCATAGATGGCGTTGTAATTAAAATCGTATCAAATCAGTTTCACTCGATCGTCACAACTTCGTTCCTATCGGGTGTCCCACGACACCACACGGCTTTTTTGTTTTTATCATTATATTTATTTATTTAAAACGTTATGCACTTTTGTACATCGGCGAACTTAATGTCTTGTGCCCCTTCTTTCTTATATCACTGATTGTTTTTGACATTCATCATGATTATTTATAGGACATCCAAAACAAAGAGCACTCTTGATTTTATCTCAACGTATTAAATTGTTTATAATCTAGTTTGACTATCTACAAAGTTTCCTGTCACTTTTAATTGTGCTGTAAACGCCGAGCTAAATAGATAACGCAACGTAAGTTCATAAAATTTTTATTACTTAACATTGTCCGTCGGTCTGCGAAGACTTGATTAACAAACATTGAAAGACTTGATCTAATTAAGAAGCTCGTTTTTATGATCAGCCGGCGAACATTACTTTCGAACAATGGTTATTTGGCTTTTGCTATTACGCACTAAAAACTAACTTACGTTCATATTGCCTATCTATTTTTTCATCTAACTTACTTTTTTAATAAAGTGTAGTAATGTGTGTAGAATTTGTTTTAGGGACGAAATCAAGTCTGACTGGCCCGTTGGTCTGGTGGTTAGTGACTATGTTACGTTATGTTAGGCTATAGGTCGTGGCTTCGATTCCCAGCCAAAACAATGGTGTGATGAGCACGGTCATTTGTTATGTGTCTGGGTGTACTTTATCTATAATATGTATGTATTTAGAAATATTTAAGTATGTTTATCAGCAGTCTGCAGTGGAGACCCCCTCGGGCCGTCACCCCACCGGGGCTTGCGGCGGGGTGGTGTGTCGGAATCGGACCGACTAAAACCACACGGTGTGCCACTCTGTAATAGGAGGGATCCGGGAACTGCTGTTATTAAGACGTGCTCCCGTCTGGGCGAGGCGCATCCTGATCCCTACCGTCCCGAAATCATTGGCGAGGCTATCCCTGGCCTTTTTAAATAAGGCCACATAGGACAGCCCGCCGTCAGCCGCCTCCGGGAGCAGTCTGGTTGCCATAGTACAGGCTCTGCCTAGTTTGGGATCAGACGGCCGCGTGAGAAATGAGTGAGAATATTATTAATAATAATGATAAAGTGACAGATAATAAAATAACAAATCTCTACTAATACTATAAATGCAAAAGTAACTCAAAAGTAAATCTGACTGTTATTCATGGCTAAACCACTAAACCGATTTTTGAGGAGAATACCGAGGAACCGAGATACTTTGATTCTTGAGGAGGGACATAGGCCATGTGAGTTCTTTCTACCCGTTTCATGAGTGTTTGTAAAAGAGAGTTGTCTTAAAAAGAATATCTACTTACGTAAAGAGAGCTAAGAATATTATCGTTAATTGGGAACTGTAGAGAAAAGATGATAATACCATCCAAATAAAAGAAAAAACTGAGTAGAAATTGAGTATATTGAAAAAAAAATAGATTATAAGAGGGATACTGGTACTATGAATGAATTTTGGCAATTTCAGCCCAGCAGGGCAGAGTGGTATATCAGTAACGAATTGGCTATTGCTTGCAAATCTGAGCCTTCTTACCAACAATGATAAAATTCATCATCAATAGCCTTTACTAATCCACTGTTGTACATAGGCCTCTTCTTAAAAAAGAGATTTTGGCCTACTACACGCTGGTCAGACGGGTTTGTTTAAACTTTTCTTTCTATTTGCACTGCTGTTGTCCTGCGTAGTTTGCTCGCTTAGTCGGCTTTTACGACAACCACGAGATGAATAGGGATGGTGACAGTCCTTATTTTTAATCCGCCACCGTCCAATCACACACAGATCTGTATACATATGATACAATTACCATACAAACAAAAGCAATATTTTCATTGTTCACCTTTTACTCGTAGTATTAAACATTAACACTCCAAGATTTTAAAGTACTTAGCATGAATGGCCGTTACACTTATCACACAAGTTTTCTCTCAACAAAATATTCTGAATTTCATTTCTAACTATTAACTTTCTAATTGGGGTCAATTTTTTCATAAATGGCAGTAAACTCTTAAAAAAATGAAGATCATCATCATCTATCCTCTCAGGATCTTCTGCCAACGACATTTTTTTACGTTTGGTTCTGTCTTGTGGCTCTTCTGAGGCCTTTCTCTTGCGTCCAACTTCTTCATCTATTTCAGCTTCTAAATGTCTACTATTTACTATATCTGTAGTACATCCTTGAGAAGGGAACTCACGTACTGGGTTTTGGGGCTGGAGTAAAGGGTTCTTTGAGTTTAAACTATAGTCATCTTCTACTTTTATTAATGGTTCATCTTCAAATACAATTAACTCTTCGATTGTATCCTCTGGCATCTCTACTTCTTCTATATTGTGGTTGTATTGTTTTGTTTTAACTGAGTCTTTGAGGAATAACATCTGTTCAAAGTAAATCCACTTCCCAGTGTAATTGGCTAGATAAGAGTTCGCTGAGTCTCCATCAGGGGTCGGTATTTTTCTTAATTCCCTTTGAAACTGGTCTCTTAAGTTCTTCCATTTTTGTTTTAAGATGTCTTCTGAAATTATTTAAAGACGTGTTATTATACTGCTTTATTTTGTTATTGTTATTAAAAACTTATGCGGTTTTTTTAACCATAATAAAAATCATTTTTTTTTTATGGGGTAGGCTTTGTTGCAGTACATTTTAAAACGTCCGAGGTACGATTGGTAATTAATTAAAAAAAAAAACAAGACACTAGAATACAGGAATGAAATAACCTTTCTCTTTTCCCTAAAAATTTTCTTTCATTTCGTTTTTGTTAAATAATAAAATGTTGAATATTAAACACTGTTTTGTTTTATTATTATCATAAATTGTCATATTACACATTCCTAGACCAAATAATTATATGGGTCTAAGAAACCCCACATGGTTCGGCATGTACCTTTTATGTACGTGGTTCGCGAAAGGTTAACTCGAATCTAACGACACTGCAAACGCCAAAGTCAATCCGTTTAGACTACAGAGCATTCCAAAGAAATATACATACATACAGTCGAAAAACATAACCCTTCTTCTACCGCAGTACTTATTTGACAACTAGATTTCATACATAACCAAACGAAAGTAGAGGGCAAAGTCGAACAACTTACTGTGTGTATTTAATACCAGGGACAGATTTAGCCATTCTCGATCTGTAGCCACACGATTGTGATGGTAATCATTGTATCTGTCCCATAATATAGGTCTATTTTGTACTTCATGGATCAATTTTTCTGTTATATTAAGGGGCTTATTTTCATTCATTTTATGAAATACTTTACTAAAAGTCCACGAAACAACACAATATTGAGTTAAACAAAACTCACTGAACTAATAATTATAATTAAATACAGCTATTAATGAAATGATATAAAGATAAGAAGCGACCGACACGACAGAGGCGAACGATGTACTAAAAATAAAAGCGTTGCGATGGCAGGCCTTGCCCGAGCTGGCAACGCAGCGATACGAGCGACGCGGCGACGCGACGCGGCACGGCGGCGCCGTCGGACGTGAGGTTCGTCCGCGACAGTCGCGACAACATGGGTGTTGATGTTGTAAGACTGTGTTGTTGTTAGTCTGTGTGAGTTAGCCGAGAGGTGTGTGTTCGTTACGTCTATTTCGCTTCACAGCGAGTTGACAACGTAGCGGTAAGCAAATAAGCGAGCGAAACGTTTTTTGTTCCTCAATAGTGTGTACCACAGTAGACAGTTTGTATTTCATGTTTTATTTATTTACTAAAACTAAATTGTAAATTCTCACTTTTAGTGTATTTTTTTTAACCGACTTCAAAAACAGGTTGTAGTTTTATGTTTGTTACCTGAGAGAAGCACCCGTGTGCACTTATATTTTAAAGAAGATTTGTTACATCCATACTGCGCGCACAAAATATCTATTAAAGCATAACAGAACAAAACATACGTTACAAGTGCTATAGGAAATAGGGAAAATATCAAGGTGAACGAGACAGCTATTTGTAATCAGTACAGTCATGGATAATTCTCTCCGTCATACATTAAGGGTATAGGTACATACAGAACCGATACTTTGGTTTTGTAGAAATCTATTTTTATGTTCATTTCTATTGATGTGTCAAATTAGTATAGCAATTAAACATAATGTATTAAAATTTACATTCATGAAATTATATACACATATTTTATAAGTCGACACATTTATTATAAAACGACTTACACGTAAATTTTGAAATATACGTTTTGAACTTTGATGTAGTACTTTTGAAGTATGATATTTATCTTCTTTGTGCTTCTGACAATAAGTCAACAACCTTTAATAGTCCACTGCTGGACATAGGCCTCTCCTTAGAAAGGAGGTTTTTTTAAATTACTATAATTACGAAAATTTACAACAAATATAGTATTTAACTCCAATAACGCTTAACCTAAAGCACGAAAACAGATTTTTGATGTGTTAAATTGAATTATCAAAATTGCGCATGGCTGCACGGCCGTGATCAAAACGTCAGGCAACTAAAAGATATTTAATGAGTAATCGCGTTCATTACCGTACTGAAACATTATTATTAGTAATTACTTTTAATGGGTACCAACTTTTAAACTATCACCTTCTATAATATATAATTGTTGTAGATGTTAGGTAGGTATTTAGTACATTATTATCATTGAAAGCCTGACATTTCGACCAGGTAGACCGCCGTCGATGTAGAAGTTTCTTCAGGCACCCTCACATTTTCGATATTATTGATATTTTCTTTTCGCTACTTACCGTCAAATACTACACTCACAGTGTTCCTGTCATTGAGTTAAAACAACACTAGAGAAGCAAACCTCATTATCACACGTCGAAAAAAGTGTAACCACTTTTGAACTTTGACGACGTAGCTTTGATACCACTAAACATTTGAAAGTAAACATATTTATGTCTCATTTACACGCGAGACAAGAACAATACCATCGCTCGGATTAGACAAAGACAAAGATATAACTTTACGATGGTGGGCCAGTGTTGACTACCGTATGAAATTTTACCCATAACAACTAAGAAACAATTTTTTTTTTTAACAATTTTGTAATAAAATAAATTAATTTAAATATTCTAAATAATATATTTCGAATTGAACAGAATAGGTATAAATAATAAAATAACTGGAAATATTTGGTTAAAAGGGTTTATATTCAGTGTAATATCAAACTGCGCTGTGAAGCATCAGTTTTGTATACAATTGTCTTTTAGACTCTTTTTTATAAGTTTGTGTGGATATTTTACTTTCATGATACACTCTTATTTTTACGTATGTAAAAATAATAGCATTTAATAATAAAAGTGAATGATCAACTTGTACTGATAATAAATAATCCCCAGGGTGTATTGCAAATTCTATTATAATTTAAAAAACAAATAAAAAAAAAAATATTTTTATTTTTATTTTATAAAAAAAATATTTATGTTTATTTACTTTTTTATTTTATATTTTTATTTCTATGATAAACATTTATTATTATTCTCTTTATTAAATTTTATATATACATATTAATTACATTTTTAAATATATTACAAAAGAAATAAAAATACATTTAAAAATATAAAAAATAGTAGACCACCGACATCGGGTACAGGTACCAGGACACCAGTGGTTAGGACTGCAAAGATAGGAACCTACTCACTATACGAGCCGCGTCAAGGAGGACTGCCTTCTGTATCTTATTATTATTATTATTTTGTACAATTAGTATTTAAAATTGATAATAAATTAAGAAAAACAATGAATTAATTTTTTTGTACAAAAGTCTCCAGCACTGCGAGCTTGGCACTTCTGCCAAGCTCGCAGTGAACGTTCAACGGGTCCCTAAAAAAAGGGATCGGTCCAGCCCTAACAACTACCGTTCTTCCTATATTTTATTATTATTGGCAAAATGTTTAAAAACAGTATAAAGCATATTATTTCATAAATTATAAATTCTCCCACTAATGTGGGAAAACCAAAATGATTTTTTAATGGTAACACTGATTCTAAATTACAATTATCAGTGTTTTATTTCAATTATAGCCTTATTTACGATATTATCAATACAAAAACCATAAACTTACACGTGAAAAGTAATTCCGCATGATTTATTAATGTTTTGTGACCTTGAATCGCATTCTTTCACTACGCATTTAGCCATTTTGGCGATTTTTACTGTCATGTGTCGCTATGTTCAACTCGGTTGACGACACATTGAATAATGAATTGACATTTGCTACGCATATGCCTGTGGACATATGTGCAGTAGCAACGATTTTAGGCGGTAATTACTCATCTATGTAAGTATTATATCAATGGTTCCTGTTATTTAAACTAATCGACGAACCATTATGCCGTTGTTTACACGATTGCGCATAAATTTTTCACTTTTAATTGGTAACGTTAGACTAAAAGTGTATTTGTAATTAAGTTTATTTAATCATAAACTCGTTGTATATCGTACAGCATAGTATAGTTTTGTTTGCCCAATTTCTTCTCACAAGTCTCGACCATTTCGACTCAACACCAACCTTTTTTTTTTAATCTTTTCTTTAAAGACAACTCTCTTTATATTACTCCTTTTTATATTTATTTTTTATTTGATAAAGATATTGAATTTGGATTGTAATTTTATAAACCTCGACACAGACTGTTTTTAAATGAACCCTTTTTACCCTCGCTGTTGAAACTTATCCCTTTCCCAAGAGTCATCTATCTATAGACCGGATAGTGTATAATTTCAGAATCAAAATTTATTTGTTCATAAAATTATATAACGTTAAAAAGCACCGATATTTTTCACAGAACTTTCGCAATCAGCCCGCCTGCTGCGCTAGGGTTGACACGAGTCTCTCATGGCCTTTTATGGCCTATGGAACTTCATTTAGCAATTTTTTAATTTATGTTTTGTTTAAAATTTCCTACACCAGGCAAAGAAATTCAATTCAGAAATAACCAAACCAAACCAAAGCAACAGTGTAAAGTTCCAAGTTTGAAATAATAACGAGTACATAGGTTATGTTAGAAGATCAGTTTGAAAAAAGCTTTTTGAAAAGTGATTTTTGTGCCGTTCGTTTGTTAACTGTTTTATTTTAACTAAAGGAGTAGTTTTCTTTATTTTGTTAATTATGCTTAAAAAAATATAAGTAATAATAATCTATTTTGAGTTATTTTGAACCTCGATACAACAAAGAGGATCGTTGTAAGTTAAGCGAAGACATTTAAAGGATAGATAGAATGTTTTTTAAAGACTTTTTAACTTGGGTATTTTTTGGTCATGTTTTGTGAACAAAAAATATTTTTTTCAATTTTTTTGTTCATTAATGGATAACGCATAACTTATAACAATATAATTATTTGAAAAGTGATTTAGGACAGCCCTAGAGTGGTTCGTACTGTAATTACAAATGTTTCAAGCTGAACTATGGGCGTTTCAGTTTTCACGAGTTGTTGAAAACTGACGTTTATACCTGCAAATAATGAAACATTGTTGATTGGAGTTTGGACAACACTTTGTTGTATGAAATATTTATTCAATACACTATTACTCGTCTACATAAAAATAAGTTCGTACTGATATGAAATTTTGGAATGTGAAATGAAATCCGATGTTATTCCAAACGATAAATTGTAGATGTATTTCAATTATAAAACAAGAATCGATAACAATATCGTTTAGACATCGTCTGGTTTAATGTTTTTTCTGTTTTTTGTTTCTGGACCAATACGACCTTCAAACCTTCAAGAAAAGAGCGTACTCCTTCCTAAAAGGCCGGCAACGCGTTTGTGACTCCTGAGTCGCAGACGTTCATGGGCGACGATGGTCACTTTCCATCAGGTGACGGCGATGCTGATCTAAAACATGGTAGATACACAAAAGAAATTAAAAATGTGATTTTATAAAAAATGTAGCATAAATATGATATCATATACTCAGAGTAGGTACTTATATTAATTACATTTGAATATTTTTTAATAAATAATACATTATTTCAACTACGTCACAAGTTATCCACTACGTCAATAACTTTTGAAATGTTCTTGTGAATTTCCTCTAAATCAAATCAATTAGGTAGTTAGTAGGCATCTTGGATTGAATACTAGTAAATTAAAAAAAAATCTTTTCACTTTTCTAGGTATTTTAATATACGTTTGTGTTAGAAATTTTCTGTTAAGTTTATGCAGAAGCACAGGGCTAATAAAATAATAACAGGCAATGGAATTACAGCGTCTATTTTACTAAAAACAAGTTTAACATTGGAAAATTACAAATCGATGT